GCCTCGCGCTAGCTTCTTTTACAGCTTCAACTACAATGCAGAGATACGGGGAAACAGGGGGCGGGAACGGCTATTGCTTCAGCCATCGACAGAAATATACGAAGGGGGGAAAGGGGGGGGGGAACGAAGAAGTGCGAGAGTTGAGTTAGCAACAATGTATTTTGTTTTTCAGTGCAATAAAACAAACAACATTTTAGGTCAGCTTGGTGTACGTGATAGTTGCAACTGTGCATGCATTAGTGTAAATTAACTTGTGCAAATTTCCATGGAATCGAGGTTTGAAACAATAGGTTGCAATTATTACGACATAAATATTGTATACGAGGGCAGGCATGTTTTACAAGAAAGAAATCGTGTCAAGTCACAAAACGTATTGAAACTCTCGGACCTCGCTATTATTATCAAGCAATCCTATATAGGAATATGTAAAAACGACAAGCATGCAGTTTATATTGTTCACATTACTGCATGTGTATAGTTTGGAGTGGTAGGAAGAAATGGTAATTTCAATGCATTTTAGCTTGCACATCGGTGCACAGAATTGCTGATTATTCGAAGGTTTCGATGGCTATATGTTCTAATCATTTACCAAGATTTTAGTTTATCTTGTTTATCCCCATCTCTGACTGCTTTCAGCGGCCATTTATCATAATAACATGCGCAGTGCGATGTTTAAGGAAGCATGTTCAAAAACAACAAAAAAAAAAAACTGTGTGAAGGCAACTTGCAGGCAATATTATGCTTAACTTCAAGATGGAAGTTGTTTTAATTTATTGCAAAAGCTCATCTTTCGTTTCATTTGGCTGTGTATGACGTTCTTGGCTGTGCAGATAGTAAATGTATTGAGAATTTTATGAGTGCATGACACATTTTTGGGAATAAGGGCTGGTGTGATGCCTAAGCAAACCCTCATTTTATAAACAGACCTCCGTGGTGTAGCAGGCGCATATTAAATAAAACTGCTCGCGAACATATATTTTCAATACAGACACTGTCGTGCATTCACTTGTAAAATATGTAGGCCGGTACACAGCCACCAAAATGCGCAATTACACACTCGCGTATAGAGGTTGATGGGCACCCAGACACAAGCATTTGCTTCAATGTGGTCAAATATTTTCGGCCATTTGAGAATGTTATGAGTGTATTATTATTATTATTATTATTATTATTATTATTATTACTATTATTATTATTATTATTATTATTATTATTATTATTATTATTATTATTATTATTATTATTATTATTATTATTATTATTGCCACGCCGTGGTGATCTAGTGGCTAAGGTACTCGGCTGCTGACCCGCAGGTCGCGGGTTCAAATCCCGGTTGTGGTGGCTGCATTTCCGATGGAGGTGGAAATGTTGTAGGCTCGTGTTCTCGGATTTGGGTGCACGTTAAAGAACCACAGGTGGCCGAAATTTCCGGAGCCCTCCACTACGGCGTCTCTCATAGTCATATGGTGGTTTTGGGACGTAAAACCCCACATATCATTATTATTAGTATTATTATTATATTATTATTATTATTATTATTATTATTATTATTATTATTATTATAAATATTAATATTATTAATATCATTATTATTTTTAATATTATTATTATTGTTGTTGCTGTTGTTGTTGTTCTTCTTGTTATTGTATCTTGAAAGCGTCCAACGTTTCAATTCCATACCCTCTCAATACTCTGTCATATTGTAAGGTTTATGAGATCAGTAATCCTGGTGTTATTTTTGATAGGATCTGAATTTGTTTGTACTGCAATAAATGCACTGCCATGCCAGGCTTTTGTTCTCTCTCTACTGGCAGAATATCTCTCGAGAATTCAGTTCTCCTATAGCTTTCTACAAATTGTACACTGCGATATGTCTTGCTCAGGTTGAGTATATATTGCCACGTTCCATTCCTCAAGCTTCGGTGGTTTTGGGTCGTTAAACCCCACATATCAATCATTCCTCTAGCTTTGTTATCGCCCCATTACACTACACAATTCTCAGCGCGAACCGCGCCTGCAGTTTTAGAGAAGCTTCGGGACTGTAGTAGATCATTTGTATAAGATCACGCCCTCTCCGCGAACTGTATAGATTATTCTGGAACACTCGTCACCGCCAGCGATAACGCTAGAACATTCGATGGCAAGAGTATAAATGCCGACGTACTTCGGCGCTTGTCAGTAGTTGATCGATGGCCGACGCTCCGTTCACTGCTATCTGTGCAAGACTGCTACTGTAATCGACTTTCCGTTTACCGGGCACATGTTCGCCCAAGTAAACAGTCCCAACATAAAGTCTCCTGTCTTCGGCCACGTCACGACCCCGTGACAATATGCATGTCTGATCTGAAATGGCCTTGCTAAGTTCAGCAGTAACGCCACTGAGTGAGTCCAGAAAAAAACATAAGCATTTACACCCATCGTTTCACTAGACTTTTTTTAAACACAGCTAGAATATTGTCTTTGCCATCACTTAATGGCCGAGAAAATCGCGCTGAGCTGTTATCTCTTTACACGCTAGTTCAGGGTCAGATATTCTGCCCTTCTCGGTTGTAATAATTTTCAAACCCCATGGAAGTTATTCAGAGACAATAGACCATTGCATGTATCTGCCAGCTTCTTCCAACACTCTATCTTTCATGGAATACAGAGTCTCTCTAAGGTCAATGTTCTTGATTCGTTATGTTTTTCATTGTACACAGTCAATTTTTTTATCAGTGAGGCTTGTCCTGTCGTAACGTTGATTTGCACATGTTATAAGAGGGTTTATTGTGTGATAACCGGATAGTCCTGGGCCATGCTGGTCGCTGGACCGAATTACACGCACGTACGTTGGCGGGTTCCACACTGACTGGCTGGTCATGTGCGCCGTATTAATTTCCTTGCAACATTGACGCCCCCGGGCGCCGGAACGGCAAACTAATCTTATCACATCCCTCCCCTCTTTATTGATGGTTGCAAACAATTGTTTAAGGTGCGTAGCGCGATACTGGTCGTCGAATTCTGGTACTTCGACGCAGGACAGGAGTACTGGGTGCTGTGACAGCAAGTTCCGGTTCCCTCGCCACGTCTTCCCTGGGATCTTGCCTAGACTCTGTGTCGTGAAGACGATGCGGAGATAGCTGCCTCTGACCTACGTCCAAGCCTGGAGCAAGACCAGTTAGCTGCGTCTGACCCACGTCCAAGCTTGGAGCAAGACCGGTAGATACTGGGCTGCCTGATTTTTGGTTGTCTGCACTCAGTTCCTCAGGAGCCTGGCGGATGTGATCCAGATGTCGAGTTAACCGTCATCCTTCTTCCAGTAGAACATCCATGGACGAACTGCGTTGTTCGGTGACGACTGCAGGGAGCCACGCAGGTCCTGGACGGAAGTTCCTTGCGAACATGTGGTCACCCGGGTGGCCCAAAACCCTGGGTCTTGTTCCTTGGTCACATCTGATTTTCTGCTTAAGTTGCTTCTGTAGCACCTTGGTCCTGAGGTCTGGGTGTAGCAGGTCCAACGCAGTCCTCAGCTTCCGCCCCAACAACAGCTTCGACGGACAGCAACCCGTGACCTCGTGAGGCGTTGACCTGTATGTCAGGAGCATGCGGGTAATTTGAGTGCGAATATCTCCAGGGCCAGCCTTCCGCAACTTGTTTTTGACAGTCTGCACGGCCCGCTCTGCAGCACCGTTTGACGCTGGATTATACGGCGGCACCAGCATTCGCCTCACCCCGTTTTTCTTGAGGAATGTGGAGTAAAGCTCACTGGTAAATGCTGGCCCATTATCCAACACGAAAACATCTGGAAGGCCTTGGTTTGCGAACATAATGCGCATGCAGGAAATAGTTGCTTCAGCCGAGGGTGTAGAGACCGGGAACACTTCAATCCACTTCGAAAACGCATCGACTGCGATAAAAAAATAGGTGTTCCTGTAAGGACCGGCATAGTCCACATGCAGCCGTCACTACGGTTTCTCCGGGAACGGCCAGGGCATGACAGGCACTGGTCGTGACACTCTTTGATGCTCCTGGCAAATACGGCACCCTTGAATGGTTATCGCCATATCTTTATCCAGGCTAGGCCACCACACATGGCTACGCGCAACTGCCTTCATTTTGGACAGTCCTGGATGACTCTCATGCAGCAGCTGGAGGACTTCCTTTTGCAAGGATTTTGGAACAATGACTCTGTTGCCCCACAATAGACAGTTCCCTTGCACGCTCAACTCATGAAAGCGCGTCTCGTAGGGACTTCCCTCTGACTCTAGGTTTATCTGGCAGCCTGACCACAACGCTGCTCTTACTTGTGACAGCACCGGGTCTCCGGAGGTGGCTGCCGCAACAGCATTTGACGACAGCGCCCCTGGGTATACTTCTTCCAGCATTAACACTTCGGCAGGGCAGTCAACAACAAATTCGGCAGTTGGCAGAGGTAGCCGGCTTAACCCATCGACATGTGCAATTTGTGAACCCGGCCTATACTTCAGGTCGTAACTGTACCCGGGCAACAGCAAGGCCCACCTTAGCACTCTCGGAGAACAGGATTCGGGAACTGGTTTGTCTGCTGCGAGCATGCCGAGCAGTGGTTTGTGATCTGTTACGGCTTCGAATTGCCGGCCCCATAAGTACTGCCTGAACTTTGTAACGCCAAATACAAGGCTCAATGCCTCCTTATCTAATTGGCTGTAGTTTTTTTCCGCGGTTGCTAGGCTGCGGGAGGCAAAACCAATGGGGTGCTATTCTCCAGATGACTCTCGTTGCGCCAGTACTGCTCCAATCCCGAAGGGAAATGCATCAGTGACAAGCACAGTTGGCTTTCCTGGGTCAAAGTGTGCCAATATAGCAGCAGAGGTGAATAGCTCCTAGCTTCTCCGAAATGCCTCCTTTTCATCAGTTTCCCAGCGCCATGGTGTTCCCGACGCCAACAAACTATTGAGCGGCTGTAATACGGCAGAAAGGTTCGGCGAAAACCTTCTGTAAAAATTAACCAACCCGAGGTAACTCTGAAGTTCCTTGACCGCTCAGGGTGCGGGGACTTCCAGCACTGCTTCAGTCTTAGCCGGGTTTGGACGCAGCACAGCCGCACTAATGATATGGCCCAAGTACTGTACTTCTGGTTTCATGAATTCGCATTTGGATAACTTCAGTCGCAGTCCCGAGGTCTTCAGGCGATCCAACACTCGGCCCAAATTTTCCCAATGCTCTTTGTCACTGGTTCCTGTGACCAGAATATCATCAAAGTACACTACCACATGGTCAAGATCGTGCAAGAGATTTTCCATCTCTCGCTGAAATATAGCCGGAGCTGATGAAACCCCGAACGGCAGCCTTGTGAATTGGTATAACCCCTTCGGAGTGTTAATGGTGACTAGCTCTTGGCACTCCTCATCGAGTGGAACCTGCTGGTAGGCATCTTGCAAGTCAAGCTTTGTGAACGTCTTGCCCCCTGTAAGTCGCGCAAAAAGTTCCTCAATCCTAGGAATAGAGTAGGACTCGACGACTCTCACCGGGTTTATGGTAGTCTTAAAATCGCCGCAGACTCGAACACGGCCGTCGCACTTCAATACAGGAACGATGGGCGCGGCCCACTGAGAAGTTTTCACCGGTTTGATAACGCCTTCCCGTTCCATCCTCTGTAGTTCTTCAAAAACCCTATCGCGCAAAGCAAATGGTATTGGACGTGCCTTGACAAAACGTGGCTTCGCACCCTTTTGTACGAATATAGACGATGTAACGCCGTGAAACGTGCCAAGATGCTCCGAAAAAACTTCGTGATATTGGCTTACCAGGTCTCCCGTAGACTTCACGACGTTGACTCCCTCCGTCTGAGCGATGCCTAGCTTGAATGCCTTCATCCAGCTTCGTCCAAACAGCGTAGAACACGCCCCTTTCATGACAAATAATGGTAGCTGGCGCTCCTTGTCGCCAAGTTTGACCATTGCTTCCAGCTTTCCCTGGACGCGTTTCATGTCTCCGAAAAAACTTTTCAGCTCCACACTCGATGGCTCCAACGACACCGACGGAAAAAGCTCGGCAAACTTGCCTTCATCAATGGTCGACACACTAGCGCCGGTGTCCAACTCCATATCGAGCATTATGCCATTAACTTCAACCGCTATGCGCATTGGCTCCGAACTAGCTGTGTGAAGCGTCCACAAGTCGAAAACTTCGGGCTCTTCAGCAGAGACAGGCAGGTCGCCCAGGTTGTTCACGCGACTAGACTGGCTCCGGTCGAAATTTCTACTTCCCGGCTGAACTCTGTAAACTCTTCCAAGGTGCCCTTTTTGGCGGCAGTTGTGACAGATCGTGCTGCCGTGCTTACACCGACACGCAGAATGACCTCCCCCGCAACGGAAGCAACAGCTATCAATCAATCAATCAATCAATCAATGAAGCTTTATTTTCATAAATAGATATATGCAATTACAGGGATTATTTGGACCGATAGCCTAAAGTGGCTAGTGGACGGTCCAATACAATGTGCAACATAAAAAAGTGTACAGGTCAGCTCTGAGGTAACAACATAAAAAAAACAATCATGTGATACAGATAACACAGTAATACATTTTTTCTTGCAGATATGCATACTTATTAGCTTGCAGCTAGTTTCTATACATAGGCACTTATTAAAAAAATACAATGAAAATCGAATCACACACACATGCTTACATGTCTTGACTCCACAGAAAAAATGATTTACATGCCATGCTGAAATTACGTGCCGTTTTAATCTCTAGGGGGACCGTGTTCCATATTTTTGTTCCACTAAACTGTATCAGTCTTTCTCCGTAAACATTAAAACATTTGGGCAGATTGAAATTACCATTCGAAGCATGTCGCGTATTGCGTTTAGGAATTGAAAAAAGATCAGCAGGCAAAGGTGAATTTCTATTAATTATGTTATTTACTGAAACAGCAATTTTGTAGTCACGCAACATCGGAACTGAGAGAATGCGTTGTGATTGGAAAATATTACTTACTGATTCACCTTGGCTTATGATTTTCAGTGTACGCTTTTGAAGTCGCTCAAGAGTTTTTAGATAACTGTTGTACGTCACACCCCACGATTCCAGACAGTAACCTATGTGACAATGACACAATGAAAAGTAGAGTGTGCGGAGAATAGCTTGTGGAAAATATTGGCGAGCTTTTATTAGAGAATAGCAGCCATAGGCTAGCTTTGCGCACACACTTTGTACTTGCTCATGCCAGTGTAAGTGTTCATCAAAAGTGACGCCTAAATATTTAAAACAAGGAACTTGTTGAATAGGAGTGTTGTTTATTGTTAGGTTAAGAGATTCAGCGTCAATATGCTATCATTTTTCCCCGAGGTGACAACGTTCGCTTGCTCCGGAGCTTCGTGAGATAGTAGCTGTGCTTGCTGACAGCTCAACGTGCGTGAATCTTTACGCGCAGCCTCCATAGCTACGACGGTGTCCTTTGCAGTTTCGAAGGTTAAACACGTCGTTTCCAGCCGCCGTGTTTGCATGGTTACGTCATTGATTCCGCTGACTATCTGGTGGCGCAACATGCGCTCTCGAAATGTTGCGAAATTACAGTCTTCAGCTAATTTCATCAACGAGGCAATGTAGTCACTTACGGTCTCCCCCTCTTTTCGATGTCTTGAGAAAAACTTGAAACTTGCCACTACTTCTGATACGCGAGGGGCGTAGTGCTTGCCAAGTGTGGTAAAAATTTCGGTCAGTCCTGCTTGGGCGGGCCTGCTTGGTGCTAGGAGGCCTCGTAGCAGAGAATAAGTCTCTGGACCGCAGCATGTCAAAAATACGGCTGTCTGCTGTCGCTCGGGATGTCGTTCGCGATGAAGTACAGCTCGGCCCGCTCACGGTATTTCGCCCACTCCGATGTACTCGGGTCGAACGGATCCAGCTTCCCGACGACAGGCATGACGATGTGTGATTGTGCTGTGCCCGTCCGGTTCGTCAGTCGACCTCGTCGCCACTTGTGATAACCGTATAGTCCTGGGCCATGCCGGTCGCTGGACCGAATCACACACACGTACGTTGGCGGGTTCCACACTGACTGGCTGGTCATGTGCGCCGTATTTATTTCCTTGCAACATCGACGCCCCCGGGCGTCGGAACGGCAAACTAATCTTAACACATATTGACTAAACCCACTGCCTGGTTCAAGTGGCGTCAGTCAGTGTCACGAACTCGGCTCTTCGTCGTAGTTGTCTTCCAGGTGCTCCGATTAGATACTGTATCTCTCCCTCTTCCCCACTACATTTGCCCCGGTGGTGAAGAGGAGCCACCCTGGCGACTCACGGCGAAGCAAGCACAAGGGTATAATAGTAAGGTTTTAAGCGGCTGATGTGGACGGTCTCACGACCACGGCATCGTCTGTCATCGGCAGGTGTCACTGGTTCGACGACGTAGTTGACCGGTCCGTAAATGAACGGACGTAAATGAACGCGCTAAGTGGTGGCACTTTTCGGCACACTGAACAAGTTCGGAGGCTGGGCGGTATTCTGAAGCATCTGGGCGGTAAGTATCGTGTCAAGCGTAGAAGAGGGCTCACGTCCGACAGTAGAAAATAAGGTGAAAACCCAGTAGTTCCTTGCGTGGCCGTATTATACTCATACGTCACGAAAGGGAGCACCGAGTCACAATTAGAATGGTCGGAAGATATGTACATAGAGAGCATATCACCGAGCATGCGGTTAAAGCGCTCCGTCAAACCGATTGTCTGTGGGTGATAGCTTGTAGTGGTGCGATGAATAATACTGCACTCATTGAGCATCTACTGAACGACTTGCGATAGAAACACACGCCCACGGTCGCTAAGCAGCTCACGTGGCGCGCCATGGCGAAGGGCAAAGCTACACAAGATGAACAAGGCGACATCATGAGCAGCAGCAGCTGGCAAAGAGGCGGTTTCAGCGTAACGGGTTTGGCGGTCAACGGCCACAATAATACAGCGACTTCCAGCAGGAGTACAAGGTAGTGGGCCGTAGAGGTCAATGCCGATTCTATCACACGGCCGAGATGGACACGGCAATGGTTGTAATTCGCCAGAGGCATGACAACTTGTTTTCCGTCGCTGACACTCAGTGCAGGAAGGTATGTACTTGCGAACGTACGAGTACATTTCACGCCAGAAAAATCGCTGGCGAAGGCGGTCATATGTTTTCAAAACGCCAGCGTGCGCATTTTGAGGGTCTGCGTAGAAGTACGCGCACACGTTGGAGCGCGAATGGCGAGGTATAACAAGAAGCCATTTTCTACCATCCGGCTGATGGTTGCGGCGGTACAACATGGCACCCCGTATCGAATATTGGTGAATTTCCCGACGTAGTGCACGAGGTAGACGCTGGCGTTGTGTCACCGAAGACGAGGAGAGAACGTCGATGAGCGAGGCTATCCAAGGGTCCTTGCGTTGTTCCGAAGGCATGTTAGCTGTATCGATGCTGTTGTTGATAGCTTCGGCAAAGGAAACAGGTGCAACGGCTGAAGGAAGGGGTGAACGAGAGGGAGAGCATCTGCGTCGGTATGCTTGTGGTCTGAGCGGTGAATGACGTGAATATCAAATTCCTGTAAACGTAGCGCCCAATGTCCAAGCCAGCCCGAAGGATCCTTCAATGAAGCGAGTCAACAGAGTGAGTGATGATCTGAAACTACATCAAATGGGCGTCCATATAAGTAAGGGCGAAATTTTTGTAATGCCCAAGCAATGGCCAAACATTCCTTTTCGGAAACCAAGTAATTGCGCTCTGCCTTGGTTAGGACGCGACTGGCATACGCAACTACATACTCCGAGAAGCCAGGCTTGCGTTGAGCAAGGACAGCGCCAAGTCCTATGTCACAGGCATCCGTGTGCACCTCGGTTGGAGCAGTAGGGTCTAAGTGGCGTAAAATAGGTGGTGAAGTAAGGAGATGGCGTAATGTTGCAAAAGCATCATCGCATGCTGGCGACCAACCAGAAAGGTATCTATTGCCAGTGATCAGCTGTGCCAGTGGTGCGATAATCGAGGCAAAGTTCTTCCCAAAGCGGCGAAAGTATGAGCACAGTCCGATGAAGCTGCGATGCGCTTTCAAGGTCGTAGGCTTCGGGAACTCAGCGACAGCACGAAGCTTCTCCAGGTATGGGAGGACGACATGTTTTGAGACAACGTGGCGAAGTATTGTGAGCTTCCGAGCTCCAAAGTGGCACTTCTTGATGTTTAGTTGAAGGCCTGCGCTCGTGAAGCAGCCCAAGACTTTGCTGAGACGATGGAGGTGGCTGTAGAAATTAGGGGAAAAACAACGACATCATGCAAGTAGCATAGGCATGTCTTCCATTTTATCCCACGCAAGACGCTGTCCATCATCCTTTCGATTTGGCTGGCGCATTACAAAGGCGGAAGGGCATTACATGAAACTTGTGTAGCCCATCGGGCGTCACAAAAGCAGTTTTTTGGACGATCTGAAGGTGCCATGAGGACCTGCCAATAACCGGACCGTAGGTCTAGTAATGAGAAGAATTCAGCGCCTTGCAAGCAGTCCAGGGCATCATCGATGCGCGGCAAAGGGTATACGTCTTTAGGCGTGACTTTGTTTAAACGGTGGTAATCGACGCAAAAGCAAATCTAGCCGTTTTTTTACCTCACAAATACCCCAGGTCAATACCAAGGACTGCCGGACGGCCGAATGACGCCACGTTGAAGCATGTCGGCCACTTGCTCGGTGATCACACGACGCTCAACAGGAGATACACGGTAGGGACGCTGTCGCAGAGGTGCTTGAGAGCCGGTGTTAATATGATGGACAACGGTGTGCGTTCGACCTAAGGACGTCTGCTGGCAATCAAACGAGCCGCGAAACTGGTGAAGAAGTTCTAGAAGCTTTTCGTGGTTTGGTTCTTCAAGTTCGCCATCAGTTGAGGGGCCAAACAAATTAATGTTTTCGTGAACAGGTGAACGAGCAGATGGCGTCAGTGCAATAAGCTGCAAATCACTTTCACCGTCAAGGCCGAAGATAGAGGAAACGCCTAAGTCTTGGAATGTTCCAATACATTCTCCGCGGCACAAGGTTGTAGGAGACGGCAAGAGATTTATGACAAACAAATTGGTAGCGCCTGCCGAAACATC